CAAAGCGAACCGGCTGGATTATTTTCCAGGTCGGTTGCGAAAGACTGAAAACCAGACACTCAATTCAGTGGCATTTCGTTATTTTTCATATATTTTGTATGTAAATTTGATTATTTCTATTTTTACAAAGCAATTTGAGCCACTTTTATGTTTAGCTCGGTTCTCACCCTCCAGTAGCTAAATGGGAACCTTTTCCAGGGTGAAGCTGGCAAAGCTATTAGCTTTCAAAGTAGCATCTCCAACACATGCGTAGAGAATCTGTGTTGTCGAAACAGTATTTAAAACACACCAGTGGGCCTCACTGCACTGGGTGACATGTACCTTTATTACCATGAACTCACACTGCAGTTCATTTTGACTCGATGCCGCTGGAGGAAATACTCACTAGAGCAACAAATGTGAATTAATACGCGTCGGAAAATAGCCCCCAACAAACCCACTATTTAGTCCACTTTGCTAAAAACTACAATGCCCAGCTGTTCTAGGCAATTGCTGAGCTTTTAAAAAAGGGGAAAAAGATACGCATTTGTTCATATTCATGCTGAAAACGCTGTGCGCCGCGTACATTATTGACAACTATTACAACACTGCCAAAAGGCTGCTTGATTTCTGACTCTTTAACTCGACAAGTTAAAGGTGAAGTACAACTCACAGCGGAAGCCGGGATTTACAAGCAGGGAGTTTGTTGTCAGCAATAAAAATATGCAATAATGCGTGTCTTTAGTTATCCGTATCTCATAAACATTGACACATGACTTCACTCAAATTAACTGAATGTAAAACTGATTATTTCCAATGTCAGTTTGGGAGTCTAAAAAATAACGTTTTCTCACTTTGAGGTATTTGTTCAGTTAATCTAAGAAATGTTTAAAGGCTCCTCGGTGCAGTAAATAGCTTTTCCAGAGGGATGTTTTGCACCTCTCCGATGTAAATGCTATTTGCATATTCACAATAACAATGTACTTTTGCACAACAAAGAGCTCACTCCCGCCATATTGTTCAATCACATTGTTTGAAAGACAATATTTTCTTCGGAAAAGTGAGCAATAAGTGAAAACTGTTTTTTTAGCGCCTATTTTTTTTTTCTTGAAAGCTAAATGATAGAAAAGTGGAAGTTTGTGAGCTTAAGTGAGTTTCGTGGAGGTTTTTGTGCTCACTTTGCTTTAACATTGTGTCTTACTTCATTTGAATATGGATATTTCCCTGCATTTCCGTAATGAGCTCGCTCTCTGTTTTCTCAGTACACCTCTCTCTGATCTCTCCCTACCTCCCCTCCCTTTGCTCCATCCTCCTCCCCCCTGTCTCCCTCTCATAATGATCTGCCAACCCTCTCCGTACATTTGATGTGTTAAAAATGTTTCTTTTTTTTCTCACCTGCAAGAGGGGAACTGATGGCTTGTTGTGGTTGACTGATTTAATATATTTCTTGCTCCTGCTCTCATGTTTGCTACTATTTAGTATTTACTACTTTGCCTCAAGGCACACACACACACAGACAAACACACAATCTCATCGCTGTAACACACATGAATATATGTTAAATTGTCTGTTGCATGGTTTCCATTGTAGGAGGAATACATGTATCCACGGTGGTCGCCCCCTCTGGGTGAGTGATACTACGCCGAGCATTGGTTTCATGGGATAGCATATAGCGGGTCAGCTATTGATCTAAGTGCGCTAACCTCGTAGACAAAATAAGGATCAGCTCCAACATCGAAAGAATGCCCGTTCCCGTTTGCTAGTAGAAAAAGGAAACTGTCGTCGGCCACGCCGGCCTTCTTTCGAGCCGTGAAGTGCTGTCGCAGCTCGTCTGTCACGATGCGTTCACACCAAAAGCAAAGCGCATTTTCCCGCGTGTAGGTTCTGTGCGAATGGTTGCGAGCGCCGCAAATTTCCACCGGTGGCGCGAGTGACAATCACACCGGCTCTGCTTGTCAGCCCCTTACCGGCTGTGGTTACAACCTGCTGAGGCTGTGAACGGAGGCCGGGGGGGGGGTTGGGCTGACGTAGTGAGAGCCGTGGATCAGGAAGTGAATCCTGCAGTGCTGCAGCAGCAGGTGACCCCGCTGCGACCTTTTAGCTATTGCTCCCAGGAAGTGCGCATGTGTGTGCACTTAACGTCATCCTCGGTGTGTGTGCGAGCGTGCACGTTAGTGCGCAGACGTGTAGATGAACGAAGATGCTGTGTGGGTGTGTGTGTGTGTGTGTGTGTGTGTGTGGTTAGGTAGAGTTTCCCCCACCGGGTCATAGAGTCTCTGAAGGCTTTTTCTTCAAGCCATATTTAGGGAAACAGTTTGTCCTGTTACACGCGATGAAACAACGGTGATTTATCCATCAATCCACTGGACGTGTGACTTGCTTTTTTTACTTTTTTGGGGGGTTCTTAGTCGACTGCTGGGATTTGTAGTTGTTTGAACATCTGGGCCGATGGGGGAGGAAGCCTCACCACTGACTCCCAGTCTGTAAGTACTGCAGCCAAAAGCAAATGATGCGGAATGCTTTGGACGTCATATCAGGTTGGACGCTCTTTGATTGATGGAGAGCTGTGTCAGCTCAACGTTTTGAAGACATTTTGTGTCCCTAAGCTTGTTCATGATTTCACACTTTGTGCCTTTTGTACAACGGCCAACACATATTTGGAGTTGTGTTTAAAACGACGCTCGTATAATTCCATCACTCTTGTCACCTTTAACTTTGGTTCTACATGATGCGTTGGGGAAAAGGACAAACGTATTAAAAAGGTGCAGTTTTGCTTTTATGGCCACAATGACAATTTTCCATCTCTCATGCACAACAAACTGATAAAGAATTGTTTTCCTCCCTCCTCCTCCCCCCTCCTCTCCACTACTCCCTAATTGTTCACTTTTGCCTCCTCTTTCTAATCTTTTCTCATCTAATTTCGTCTCCTTGCTTCCCCCCTATACCCTTAACCTACCGTGTACCCTTTCCTTGTCAACCCTTTCTCTCGATTCTCCACCCCCCCTCCTCCTTCCTTCTCGTTTCCCTTCTCCTCCCTCTCACTTGGCACCTCTTTCACTGTTTCTCACCTCCTCTACTCTCCAATTGCTTATTTTTTGCTCTTTATTTGCACAAATGTTAATGTCACATTGTTGGCTCGGTTTAATTTTATGTAAGCGAGTTGTTACATTTGACAAGAAAACAAAATAAATTGTGAGATTAAAACACACACTATCCTCCATATACAGACAATATGATTGAACACAGAGTGAAGGTGGTTTAAACGCAAATGCATATTTAGTGGACAGGAGAGTTGTTTATTGCTGTAAGGACATTTATCTTCTCTTGGCAGACATATTTGTCCGTGTCCATTTCGACAGCCGAGTGTGTACATTGTCAATGTTTTAATCCCCTTTTTCTATGACCTAAAGTGTTGGGTGGGGGTCAAGTGTTTCACTGCCAAATAACAATTTAGTTTGTGTTCTGTTTGGTTCATTTCAGTTTAATAAGTAAATAGTGTTTTTCAGTATTATTTGGTTGAGTTTGAATGTTTTTTGCCAATTGATGGCCTGAGGCTCCCGTTAATTACAAGACACTCCACTTTTTTAAAGCAAGGTGGTGAAAGTGAGTGTGGGGCCGTTTCTCTCTCGCCTCCTCTTTCTATTCCTCACCTTTTATGTTGGTGTGCTGCGTACTATCATCCGCTCCCATCTTCTCTACCACCTTTTACCATTTGGTCCTTTGCTCATTGCTTAGTTTGTACTTATTGCCTTTTTTAAACAAGGGAAGTGTAATTTATTTTGTATGTACTTTGTATGTGATCTTAACGGATCTACCTGCAGAATGGAATCACTGGCCAGACCACAATATACAAATGCATGCACATCTCCTCCCTGTGATTCTGAGCCCATCAGTTCTGCGTCCGCTTTGGTCTGTTTCCCCTTTAATTGCTCTCCCCTCGATCTCCACAGTGTGAAATCCAATTAATCAGCACAGTGTAATGCCTCAGATAAAAAACAGTTCTCTCTCTCTCGTATCGATTTGAGTCCTCGTGTCTGCAAAACTGCCTGAAACAATACCGGACACAATAAAATGTTGATTGCACCAAAATACACAAACAGCACTGAGAGCAGAGATATCGACTGGACTTAATGCAACGATTGTCTCTCTTTGCTCTCGTCTCAGGTTGCTTCTCTTCCTCTTTATTTATTACTTATCCAATGAAAAATGGCACCGTTCTTTCGTATTTTTCATTGTTTCTGATCCCTGGTTAACTTGATCTGCAGTGAGTCACAGTTAATATGCTGAAACAAAAGGCCTCAAAGAGCAGCATGGAATCGAATGAATTTTTTCACTTCATGCAACTTTAGGGTGGATTACCTTTATTTTTTGGTAAGGACATTCATGGTCGCCAGAGGATGTCGATAGCTTTGTTTACTCCCTGTGTTTTCCTCTCGCGCCATCATGAGTTTGACTTGAATTGTCAACTATTGGGATTTATTTGAAATTTGACAGTTACACAGATTCCCAGAGGATGAACCGTCATTTTTTTCTTGATCCAGTTTTCTTATCCAAACCTCTATTCCTACAAGCAAACAATTGCACCCCAACACCTCAGTCAAATATCAGCATGTCAACATCATCTTTGTGAGCGTGTTAGCATGTGGACATCAACGGTTCTCTCAAACATGGCTATGCTCAAGTGAAGCCTCATATGGACAATAGCATGTACAAAACAGCCACAACCAGTGTGTTTTATTGTTAACTTGAACTGTCGGCCTCTTAGTCACACTGTCGCCTAAATCAGTGGTCGATTGAGATGGCTCAAGTTGTTTTTTATGCATGACTTATTTCAAAGACATTTAAGAGAGCCTCTTTGATTAACACCATATTTAAAGCTGTGCTTTTGAATGATTTCTCATTGATTAGGTTGACTTACAATTTCTTTGTTTAACGACAGCCGCGGCTAAAACGGGCAAATTCAAAAACATAGTCTGCTGTCAAAGCATCCATGTTTACACCCCGTTTTATTAAATTTCCAGAGGAATCCAGCAGCAGTTGTCCAGCTACAGGGAGACGGTGGTCCGACAGGCCACGGTAGCGGCAGGTCACCGGGACGACGCACCGACCTGCGGCATTTGCCACAAGACCAAGTTTGCAGACGGCTGTGGGAACCTGTGCTCGTACTGCCAGACCAAGTTCTGCGCCCGCTGCGGAGGCCGCGTGTCGCTGCGATCCAACACGGTAAGAGAGACGCGGGGGGCGGAGGGGGGTGTTGATGGACCGCTGTTTGGCAAGACTTCATACATATCTCAGTTATATCTTGTCATGTTATCATGGTTTCGGTCTTTCGGTCAGCCAACGTTCCCTGTGGATTGAGTGGCATCGCGGGAGAGACCACTCCATCAGGATAGAAGGGGTTTTATCTTAGAAGGCATTTTATTAGTACAGCACATTTCAACAATAAGGGAATTCAAAGTGCTTCACATAAAAACTTTAAAAACATCCAAAGACGAAGCAGGGAGATTTAAAAACAGTCAAAAAAGTCATTAAAAAGAGAAAAAGACCACATTAAATAAAAATAAAATAAAATGTAGGCCGCAGTAAACAGAAAAGTCTTTAATTGGGATTTAAAGGAGCTGAGGGACTCAGTAGACCTGCAGCTTTCTGTGACTTTGTTCCGTATACGTTAGGCAGAAAAACTGAACCATGTTTAGTCTCTGGGAACAGAAAGTAGACCCGTTCGGTATCAGCAGATCAGTAAGGTATTTTGGCCTTACACCATTCAGTGCTTTAAAAACAAACATTGACTTTAAGACCAATGCATTTAGAAAGGATCTAGTTCATCACTCGATGAATTCGGGGTTAATTTGCCGATATCCTCGCACAAAGGGGAAAACTATTTTGCAGGGCAGCACAACCTCAAATCCGTCATCGGATCCAAACACTGCCAACATACACGTGCAGCACATGGAGCTGTGTGGACTATGGAAGGGCGTCAGGTGTTTGTGCTTAGGTGGAGGTGATGAGCCGTGGCGCAGGTCCGCGTCTTAATGTGTGTATTAAAGTGTACTGTGTGCCGTGGACGTGTGTGTGTGTGTGTGTGTACGGTATCGACACCCATGCTGTGGCTTTTACCGTGTATTCACGTGTGCCTCCACTCATGTGTGTGACTGTGATTCGTGCTGGGATTTGGTGTGTGTGTGTTTGTGTCCCAAGCAGGAGCTGGTAAAGGTTAATTGGGCATTAGACTGAGTTGTGGACCGACGGGGGTGGTCTCCCACCCTGTCTCAGTCTCCCTGGGGTTCCGGAGGTGCCCTATACACACACAGTGGGGTGTAGGTGCATCAGGGGAGCCGAGTCTTCCTCTAAAATAAGTGACGTCTCCTCTCCCCCGCCTCCCTTCGCCTACATCACCGGCGTGGCATTTAATGACCTCACGCTTGAACAAACGCACCCGCTCAAAAGTACGTCCTAATTAGTTACTGGCTGACACGGGGAGACTTCAGCTGTGGTGTGTGTGTGTGTTCTTTGAAAGGTGGATTTGTGTACGTGTATACACACATTCACAGAAGCTATATATGCAACAATGGTTACAGACTTGCAGTTTCGTATTATTTATTTCTTAATATGTTATTATGTGTTGTTAAGTGACGGTGGCAAGGTGTCTTTGCGGTGTTCATTTAATTACTTTTCGCATTTAGATGTGTGAGAGGAGACATTACGATAGCTGATGATGAGAAAAAGCTGGGTTAATTTCCCTGCTTATCATTTTCAGTTTGTTTATTAGTTCAACATTATCATTAAAAATGCTAAGCAATGTTGATAGTGAGCCTTAGTAATTGTTGCAAGCTAATAAACAAGTTTCCCCTTAGCTAGGCATAGCTAGGCTAGGTGAACGAGGCAACCTGATTCTCATTCAACCCTTTGACAGAAATAAAAACATGACGAAATAATAATAATTCATCGTGTTTCTATGCCAACCAGCCACCGCACAACTCTAAAAACTTCCAAATCAGTGGTGACGAACACAGCGAGCAAATGTCAGGAGTTGAGTTATTAACGCAAGATTCTGACGTGTGTGGTCACTGCCTCCCAAACGAATCAAAGCATACGGGGCCAAATTGCCGCCTACATTAAGTTACTATATAGTTGGAACTGACAAAAATTAAGCATTGCAAAGGCCGACTCGCTCCACTTAAAAAGCACTGGTGCTCCATTACATCACATCCAGCAAGCTGCACGGAGGCTCAACTAAAAACACCAAAACACTGAATGCGTCAGCACTGAAATTTAAATGACAGCTCCCATGTTAATATTGTTTTCACAAATGTTCAGCCCAGGACTATTTTTACCACCCCAAGTTTATCAAAAGTAGCTCAGCTGGGCGGAAAGAAGCACAGCCTGTCAACACTTGACAGGGAACGTTTACGTTCCCTCGCCCCTCTCTCCTAATATCAAACGCAAGAAAGGACCTGAAATTCAAGGAGCATCGCTTATTTTTATATCACTGAAAAAATAATACATAATTCTGAAGAATTATGTATTATTTTTTTCTAATGATGTTTGACTTTCCAGAGACTTTGTGTCTACAGTTAATGAATTCAGTTGTGTATGCATAAAGATTTGTTTCAACATTTCGACTCCAATCTGGCTCAAAAGAGTGTCAGCATATTATTTGTGTAACCTTCATGGAAACTGAAATATGGGTGTTACAGTGTTTGTTGCTGTTACGGCTGTAGGATCATTGCCATGCTTTCCAATATCATCTCTGCTCACATTCTCTCTGTCTTTCTTTTCATTATACATGGATGGCTGACTTGGCTGCAGGAGGACAAAGTGGTGAGTGTTTTTTTGTGTGTGTCTTCTCTGGACTACATAACTTTGCCTGCAACCTTAAAGACAATCCATCTTAATGGGTTCAGACAGTATGTATTTACCCATCAGTCTGTCAGCCTCTGTGTCCGTGTGTCTGTTAACATCACAATTTGTGTCTGGAAACATCCTGGTTGAATATTTCAACTAAATCATTGTGATTAAAACAATCTCTTCATTAGTTGTTTTCCATACTTACTCATATTCCTAAATCATCACCCAGCCACCCAAACACTTGGGTCTCTGATGTAGATCAAAAAGACAAAATACGATATATAGTTTTTTGGCCAAGCGGAGTGATTATCTGGGGTTTTGGCATCAATGTGAGGTTGCCTAGCAACCAGTCCAGGAAGTGCTATATCTAATAACTAATGAAGAGAAGCTCAAAATGTGAAACTATTGCTGTGCTTGGTCTCTGAACCCATGAAATCCAGATCCAAGCGCCGAAGCAACTGGGAAACCTATTTCATTGCCTCAGGGTGGGGGGGGGGGACAGTCCACCCTGATCTTGGACCCTTAACCGTCTGTCCCGTTTCTTCGGGTTCGTGACACATCTGCCATTAAATGTGTGTTGGCCTGCTGCAAAGCCGTAGAGAAACCGTCCTCTGTTGCGTGGCCAGAATCATCCGGAATGATGGTGCTGGAGGAAGGTTCCCGGCGGACATGCCTTTAACACCCTCCCCTGCTTGTGCAGTTGTGTCAGGTTTAGAACCTTACTTGGCCTTGGCTGCTTTCCCTCACCGAAGCTGCCAAACCGGCACTTTGATGATAGTTGGCTGGGCCCGAACTCCACGGCTATCCAGGAGTGCTTTGGTGTCCTGCACATAGCAGGCTCACTGCCCTGCTAAAGCTCCGGACAGCAGTCACTGGCTGAGAGGATCGGTTTGGCAGGATGGCCGTATAGCTGCAAATGGATTCATTTAATTACTCAGGGATTGATTAATCTTACCTGGCACCGTGCTCTGAAAATGCAACGTTACTCTGCCCACTCTTTCCACTCTGTTCAAACGAAATACCCAAAGTTAAAGAGAAAGGGTTGGCACGGACAATCCCGCCGTTCCCAGGGGTCCTTGAAGGAGTTCTAGGTGGGCCTCAATAAAGTGATTTCAAACTGGGGTTTCGTGTGACTGTGTCAGTCCATGGGAATACGTAGCACACAAAGGTATAATGTAGCTTTTATTTTACTTTATTAGACGTCACAATCTTATGTCCACTTCTTACATAGTCAATAGTCATCTGTAGCCTTCAATTGTTTAATTGTTAGTGTTGATTTCTTTCTCATACATTATATCCTCCCATGCTCTATTCTGATGTCATCAATTTCTCTCTTTAATACGTTAATGTAGTTTGACACCTCGTGTCCTCCCTTTGCTCCAACCACGTAAATAGCCGCGGCTAATTACCACGTCCGGCTTATACATTAAAATGAAAATATATTCTCAAGACGTATGGAGTTACCTATAAAAAAAAACATCCAAAGTTATGTTCGAGGGCTGGAATTGTTATTAGTTGCTTTATTTAAAAAAAAAAAAAAACTACTATTTATTTTACTCACATCATCTAGTCTTTCCGACGTATACATTTTGTGCACTCAATGACCTGCGTGGAGTGTGCCGTCTTGCTTCCAAGAGAACATCTGTGAAAGCCGATGATAAAGACATAAATCGAGTTGTAATAAGCATGATGCAATACAGTGTGTGGCGCATGCAGCCTCGTGTGCTAATGATATTCGGGGCTCATTATCTGCTGTGATGGCTGAGCTCTCGTGGAGCCGATCGTCTCTCACAGACAGGCACGCTTTTGAAGTCCTCATTCCTCTCCTCACTAGAAACTCAGGAGTGTTTTGTGTGTTTTCTTTTTCACACACGCACATGCTCACTACCGCCTCTCCTCTCTCTAATTGTAATGTCAAGGGATGTATTTCTGTCGGGGTTCTGTGCTTTTATGTATCTACTGCTCAGCTGTTTTTAGACCGGTTCGGATTCAGAATTACCAGCATGGCTGCCTCATCTTCTGGTGCTATTAACCACGACAGCATATCATCAACGTTTTGTATGATATCGCAGAAAAAGTTACTCACATTTTTCTCACATTTTCCAGAGACATTCAAGAAGTGTGTCAATTTCAAATAATATCTTAAGAAAACTTATTTTCATTTGGTGTTTCCTCACGTATGTGCAGCAATACTTGGAGTGGAGTCTTATAGTGTTTTTTTGGCATAATAACTAAATACAAAAACCCCCATAAACAAGCAAGTAAACAACAAACCATTTGTGTTCTGTTTGTTTAATCCAGAATTATTTTTAGTATCCAAGCCAGTTGCTTCTTCCTGCTTCCAGGCAAAGCTAAGCTACACACGTCAAATACTGGTTACGTGCAACCTCTCTGTCGGCCAACAAGGCGGCGCATGGAATCAAACACCTTTTCTGAGGAACGTCTTCCCGGTTAGTCACACGCCACTCGTGCGTGTTCGTTCATCACACGTCTGTTCAATCTTCTTGCCATCATGTAAACGCCATCGTTGTGTGTCACAGCTTCCTCACGGCGGGGCGTTTACGACCTCAGAGACAAGTCTGTGTCACGCTTCGCGTAGGTGAGCTTCACAGCATCACAGAGTGCCGCACGCGTTCTCCTTCCTCCGGGTCACGATGCCTCCAACACTGTGTTGTTGGACGAAGAAACGACCGGCATGGAGGTTCGACGCGGCTCCGTATGCTTTGACTGACCGTCCTGCACCCTGAGGCAAATGGGCCAGGCAAAGGAAACCGCACGGGAAAAACAGTCTCACCATGTGCAAATATATATATGTGTATTGATTCAAAGCCTACATGGAATCATGGCTTTGCGCCGCGTTGTGTCGGGGTGCAGCGCACTACAAAAAGCCTGAACAATGTGTCATCTGCTGTTAACGCCACAGCGCCTCATGATTACTATTGATCGCCGGTCCCACTAGCTGCGTCCGTCTCCACGTCCATCTCTCATTGACTGGTCTTAAGGGGGCCATCGCTCTCTATGAAAGTAGGCTGACACACACACACACACACACAATATAGTTCCCTGAATGACGTTTGCCTGTACAAGCCTGTGCACCATACAAGACCGTGGCGTTGTGCGGACATCCTCTGATGTGCAGCGCCATTTGCACACAATTACAAGGAGGACACATGCTCAAATGCATTGTTTGCTGAGCACCCCATGTTCCATTTTATTAATCGAGCTGTTCTCGTACAGAGTTCCTCCAGGGGACCTTGTAAAACAAGAAATGGACATTGATTTATTAGTTACTTTGCTTCTGTTGTTATTTTAACCCAAAGCAAAAATCATTTCCAAAAGTAGTCTTGTTGCCTGAACCTAAACAATCTTTTCCTGAACTTAACTATGTCGTTGTATTGCCTAAACCGAACTTTCTTGTGAATAAAGGAGTTTAACGCTGAAATAGACAACAGTCATGTAACAAAAATGTTGGTGCAAAATGCATTAAAAATAAGGAATGACTGCTTGTAAGATATTATATAAACCGTTGAACTAAAAGTAACAGAAGACCAATGTCATTCGCAAAAGAGATTTTGGTCAATTTAAAGTTATGTAAACGTAATCTCAATGTAATTATCACTGGCTTCTTCAATGCAAATCTTTCTGCAACCAGGTGCAATCTACCAATACAGTTGAAATCATAATTATTCAACCCCCATTGTGTATTAGGCTTATTTACAAATTATTATTTATTTTCTAAAAAATAAAATTCAACACGAAAAGCTACTTTTAATCATTACTAGTCTCAAAATGATTCAACCTCTTCATGACAAGCAGTTAGTAGAGCACCCTTTGAAATGATTCAACCCCCTGTCTCAAGCCCACCTGGGGCAACTAATCAAGGGCTAATCATTAGTTCAGGTGCGCTTAAGATAGAACGCCCCCCTCGAGCGACCAGGACCTGGTGGCAGCAGGCGCTGAGGTGTCAGGTTGCACAGTGAGGCGCATACCGAACACTGAAGGGTTTCATGCCCGGACTCACGCGCACCACTAACCCCAAAAAGAAAAGTCAGCTCCAATATGCTGAAAAGGCTTTGTTTCAGAAGAAGGAATGGACGATTCCAGCGTGGCCGTCGCAGTCGCCAGACTTCAACCCCATCAAAAGTCTCCGGCGGAGTTTGAAGAAGGCGGTTGCAAGACGCACACCCAAGAATATTACTGAACTGGAGGCCATTGCCCATCAGGAGTGGGCTGAGATTCCTCAGGAACGCTGCCAGCAGCTGGTTTGCAGCAGGTCATGACAGCAAAAGGTTTCTCTACTAAGTACTGAAGATTCTTGTCATGAGCAAGTTGACTCATTTTGAGACCGCAGTAGTCTTTAAAAGTATCATTTGGTGTCAATGAAAGAAAATGCAGTTTTTCTGTGAAAAAGAAAGCGATCCGAATGTTTACTGCACCGTCAATAATGGCTGTGTTTCCGTTCCATTCAAATACAACTTTTCATATTTCACCAAAGGAAATGAAAAACGTTACGATACGGTACGTTTGCTTCAGCTGGTTTGGAGCGACTAACTTTGCTACACAATTTGCTCAGACGTCGGCGGGATTGTCCATTAATTGCTGCGATCCACCAGTAACGATGGGCCACGTAGAGGTTGCAAAGTCGGCTTGGCTACTATCTTACCAAACTACCATAGAAAAATGGATAGTAATACAAAGATTGACAGCAGAAAAGGCAATGCAGCGAATACCATGTTTGCTGCTTGCTCTTTTCAACAGTTATTAAGACTTTTATTAAAACTGTTTCTCAGACAAAATCACAAATCTGCTCAAGTGAGCTTATACATTTCTTTTATCTCATTTCTTTTTACCCAATGGAGGGCGTTGAAGGAGCGTTGCTTTGACTTAAGGATAAGGAAAGGTACTATATATCCACTTCTTGCATACATACATTCTATCGTCCACATATAGTTCAGCAGACAGTGTTTGGTGTG